AGCACTGTCCAGGCGGTGGCCTGTAGCTGCAGCCTTAGAGTGGCAGGGAGGTGTGTGCGCGCATGTGTGTGTGTGCGTGGGTGTGGGTGCATGTGTCAGAGAGGCAGGGAGGTGTGTGCGTCCGTGTGTGCACGTGTAGGGGTGCATGTGTGCGTGGGTGTGGGTGCATGTGTGAGAGAGGCAGGGAGGCGTGTGCACACGTGTGTGTGCATGCACACATGTGTGGGTGCATGTGTGTGAGTGTGCATGTATGTGCACGTGTCGGGGTGCCTGTGGGGGTGGGTGTGTGCATGTCTGCACATGTGTACCTCCGGAGATGGCTTGTGGCAGGGTCACCAAACTGGCCCAGACGCGGGTTCCTGCGGGGAGGTCGGTGACAGGCTGGGCATCTGGGATCAACACAGACGGTGCTGCGGCTGCCCTTGGTCTCATGTCCACTTCAGGCACAAACAGCCGTGAGGAAAACAACCTGCCCTCCCCTCGGAAGGTGTGGAAATCCCTGTCTGGGGAAGAAAGAGCTGGGAGCACGCTGGGGCCATGAACTGGCCATTCCATCCCCCACTGGCCGCAGCCTCTCCGGAGAGCAAGGGCCTCCCTCGCCTCCCCACCACTCACAGCCACCCCAAGTTCAAATCCGGGGATACGATGGACAGGCTTTGTGACTAGTAAAGAGCGGGGCAGAGCAAAAGGCAGTGACCCCCCACAACACACACACCCCATCCCTGAGTTTCCGCCAGAGCGGGTGTCCTCTGGGTATCCACGCCCCATTTCTTGCTCCAAGGAGCTCGGGGACGATGCTTTAAAATGCCATGACGGCTTATTGCTCTTGACAAATGCTCTTTCTTTCTTTCTTTCTTTTTTTTTTTTGTAGTGACAAATTCTTCAGGAAATTTCCACTCAGTGCCACACAAACAAGTTAATGTGTACTCGACAGAACATATTTGCAAAACTTTTGTAACTCAGCTGAGTTGTCCTTCCCAAGCGGGCTTGCTGGCAGGGTGGCTCCGGGCTGGGCAGAGCACAGAGACAGTTTCTGTGGGTGAGGGGCGTCAGCCAGACTATTTTCTCCAGTTTTGTTTTGGCAAAACTGGATGTTACCTTTGCTCTGCTTGTCCACTGCCTGGACACCAGTGCCTGCACTGGCACGGCCTGTTGGCCTCTCGGGGCCTTCTGTTCTCTGCCTTGATGTTCACTGGGGGCGGGGGAGCAGGAGCTCAGGATAAGAGCTATTTTACTGAGCTACCACAAGACACCCGTGGCCTGCCGAGATACAGTGAGGACTGGTGGGCAAGCTCAGTCCTGGCTGTGTGAATGTCTGTTTCAAATTCTTACTATGGAAAAATTCAGACATAAACAGAACTGGGCAAGACTGTCCAGCGAGCCTCTAGCTGGCCGCCAGTAGCTGCAGTTATGGACATGAGGCTAATATTTTTTCCCACACCTTTGAATTTCTTTTCTTCTTCAATTGTTGTTAAGTAAATCCTACACATCATCTCATTTTATCTATAGGATTTTTTTTTCCCAAAAAAATTATAGCTACATATCACATCTTAAAAATGCAATTCCAGGCCCTCCCTGGTGGTGCAGTGGGTTAAAGCACAGCACTGAGAAGCTAAAGCTACTTCTGCATGAGTTCAATCCCCGCCTGCCCCGGAGGTGACCACATGGCACAGCAGACCTCTCCTGACCTGCCCGCTGCTCCCCTCAGCAGTGGACTTTGTCAGTCAACCTGTTCTGCTCCCCACTCTGTCTCTGGTGATCCTCTCACCGCCCCTGCACCTCTAGCCTGTACCCCAGTTCTGTATGCACAAGTAAATTAATCTTTTTTTAAAAATGCAATTCCAGGCATGCCCTGGTGGCCAATGGATTAAAGAGCCACATTATGAAGCTCTCTGCAGCCACTGCAGCACGAATTCAATCCCCGTCCCAGAGGTGACCCACATGGCACCGCAGACCCCTCCTGACCCACCCACTGCTCCCCTGAGCAGTGTACCTCAGCAGTCGGCCTGTTCTGCTCCCCACTCTGTCTCTGGTGAATCCTCTCACCCACCACACCTCTGGCCTGTACCCCAGTTCTGTAAACATAAATAAATAAATCTTTTTTTTTTAAAGCAATTCCTTAATGTCTTCAAACAAAAATGACTGTTACCCTAACGACCCCAAAAGCCTTTTTACAGTCGGTTGGTTTGAATTAGGATCTAAAAAAGGTCTCTACATGATATTTTAGTTAATAACACACTCTCTGACATTCATGTGACAGGAAATTAACCACTTCATGGTGAACAATGGTCGGTCAGGACATGCACAATGCTGGAATTGAATTCCATTGAGGTTCAAACTATTTTCATCACCCCCAAAGGAGACCCTCACCCTTCAGTCCTACTCCCCACCCACCCATCCTTCTCCCCAGCACCTGAGAGCTGCTCCCCCTCCCCATGCACTTCCCTATTTTGGACATTTTATATAAATGTCGTCATCTGACACGTTACCTGTTTAGTTTTCTTCAATCGGCATGTTCACGAGGCTCAGCCGAGTGGAAGCAGACATCAGTGCTCAGCCCTTTTCGTGCCTGAATAATATTCCACCATTTAGATTGACCACATTTTGCTCATCCATTATTCAGATAGTGGCTATTTCAGATTTTTTTGGTTTTTCTGAACAAAACTTTTGAACATTCATATACAGGTTTTTGTGTGGATATATATTTTTATTTTTCTTGGGTGGAAACCTCGGGATAGAATTGCTGACTTGTATGTAACACTACGTTTAATTTGTTGATGTCCTGCCAGATAGTTGCCACACAACAGCTGCACTATCTTATGTTCCCATCAATAGTGCACAAGTGTTCTAATCGCTCTATGTCCTCGGCAACACATTATTTTCCATTATTGTTGCGGTCACTGTCTTTGTTGTTGTGGTGAGTAGGTGTGTGGGAGTAGCTATCTCACTGCACTTTGGATTTTATTCCCAAGTGAGGACTACTGCACATCTGTTCGGTGCTGGCTGGCCATTTGCAGATCTTCTTTTGAGAAATGTCTATGCCAGTCCTTTGCCAGTTTTCATTGTATCCTTTGCTCCTTTAGTATGGAGCTCTAAGGGCCATTTAAATATGCTAGATCCAATAAAGATCCTTACAAATTATATGACTTGTAAATATTTTCTCTCATCCTGTATGTTATCACTTTTCTTTCCAGTAGTGCCTTTCGATGTACAAAAACTTCCCTTTTCATGGTCTTGAATTTGTCTATTTTATTTTTTCTTTAGTTGCTCGTGATTTCGGTGGGGTTCAAATCTAGGAATCTACTGCCAAAATCTTGAAGACTTAACCCCATTATTATTATTATTATTATTCTAAGAATTGTATTGTTAATGGTCACATTAAGGACCTTGACCTGTTGGTGTATGGGGACAGGTATAGACTCAGCCTGACCCACCCACTCCCCATGACCATATGGCTATTCTTGTATTCCAATTACAAGTTTACTTATCAAAACTCCTTGGGAGCTGGGACCCTGACACTTTTGTATACCATGCAGGTCTTCCCAAGACATCAATGGTTAATAATCAATAACAATTTAGTGAATAACTAGATGAATGTGTGAATGAATTGTTATAATTTTGGTTATAAAAAGTGAGTATCCGTCTGGTTGGATTCAGATCTCCTAAATTGCTATTTGTCTTCTATTTAATTGATCTATCTTTTGCAATCTTTCCTCCTTTTTTATTTTTGGGTTATTCAAATCGTGTCTATGTTTCCATGTAGCTCAACTATGGACTTACTTTTTACTTCTTTGTCTTGTGTTTCTTCAGTGGATTAAGGATTTACAATAAACTTTTCACATATCACCTTATGTCTTCACACAACATTATTACATCTCTTGAAGTAAAGTCGAGAAACCTAAGTCACCATCCTTAGTTTCTTTCTCCCTTCTGGCCTTTGCGCTATTTTTGTCTTTTTTTTTTTTTTTTTCACTTCTACGGTCAGTTTTAAACTGCACAATATGTTACAACGATTTTGCTATAGATAATCAATTCGCCATCATTAAACATGAGGAATCATTAATCATTTTTGTCACTCTTTATTCTGGGTTCAGATACCAATTTTTCATCTGTGTGATTTTTCCCTTCTTTCCAAAGAACTTGGCTTTAATATGTTTTTGTAATGCCAGTCTGCTGGGAATGAATGGTCTCGTCTTTTGTATAAAAACTGACACCCTCTCCAGGCAGATAGTCAGGGTTGAACTGACTTCTGCACCTTCCTGGTGTTGAAGAGCTGTTTGCTGGCACAGGGGAGACCTCACACATGTTCAGGGCCCAAAATTCAGTGGCCTCGGGACAAATGACTGAGCCTCTCTGTTCTTCAGTTTCCTGGTCTATGGAAGGGACCTACTCTGTCCCCTAGTGTGAGGCCAGAGCGCGCGATGCTTAAAGAACACTGCTCAACTCTGCTCAAGACACCAGGAAAAAACCCAGAAGGACTGATAAATCCCAGGGCGAGCTGAGAAACTCCTAGAAGAGGGGAGATAGACACCCACCCCAACCCACCAGGGCTGATACAACTGAGTTACACCCAGTAGTGCAGGCGTAACTTAGAAACCCCTGCCAGGACCCATAAACCAACATCTGGAGCACCTCACGACCACCCCCAGCAAGGGACAGAGTGGGCTGCCCTTGACATGTCCTTTGAGCCAGGAACCCCCTACCACTGATGCCATTGTCCTGCCATGGACACTGCCCCTCAGGGCCCCTTCTGGGTACACTGTCACTAAATAAGCTTTGTTTTGCTTTGCCCAGACCTGGCTCTGAATTCTTTCCTGAATTCTTCACAACCGAAGACCCCTTTCAAACTGCTGAAAGCAGGGTCAACACAAAGTAGAGCCCTGAGCAGATTGCCTGGCAGAAAGAGCTCGACGACTTAGCTCCTGTGGACACCACCTTGGGTGCTTGAGTCACGCGGCGCCTGGGGACGCGGGAATGAGCAAGCATGTGGGGTGCTTTCTTTGAGCTTTTATTGTTCGCTCCCAGGACTCCCTTCTGCCTGAGTCGGAGGTTCCTCTGTGGGGAGGACTCAGACCTGGCAAAGCAGCTGAGAGGCTCCAGCAGTGAACCTGGAAAGTGGCTACTTCCCAGAGGTTGGGGGTGCTCTGGGGTGAGAGGGAGGCCCTAGAAGGGGGGACAATCAGGCTGTGCACATGTGGTCTGGGTCAGGAGCCTCTGCTAAGGTAGACAGGCAGATCCCAGAGAATGACTCTTTGGGGGACCAGAGAGCCCCCAAAGACGGCAATCAGCCTAAGTAGCAACAGGGCCCTCAATCTACCCCATTCCCCTCACCCCCCAACTGGGGACTTAGGGTCACAGGCACAAAGCCAGGTTCTGGTTGAGCCAATGAGCTGATGAAGGTGCATCAGAGGTCCAGAAAGCTATGGGACTCAGAGTCCGGCAGATCGAGGTGCAGGGGCGTAGGGGGATGCAGCCGGAGGAAGACGAGGGATTGTTTCAGGCGGTCTCTAGGCCACCACACGCATGGGCTCCTGGCGTGTAGACCCATCTGCCAGAGTCACTGTCACCTTGCCAAGGACAGGAGGAGCAAGTGTGCAGATTCTCTGTGCCTGGGGCAGCTGGCCCTTAGTGGGGGCGGGCGGGGCCGCTGCTCCAGGAGGACGGAGCCCTACCCTGGTTGGGGTTGACCACTTTGGCCAGAAAGAGGACGCTCTGGGTCTTTTTGCAGATTATGGCCAACAGAAAGGGCCTGTCGAATCTCACATAGATGTTCGAGCCCCACTTTGCAGACAAGGGGGTTATTTTGATTCCCGTGGCGGCGGCTGCCTCCGTGCCCACCTCCGCCACGTCCAGCACCGTCTGGTGGACCACCTGCGGGGGCACAGAACGTTGCCAGGGTTAAGCAGCCCGCACTGACACTTACCAGCACCCAGCAGTGTCTTGGCGCTCTTCGTCTGCCCCCCACACCCCTGCGGCCGGGTTTGCACTGGCCCAAGGCACAGACGGAGGCCGGTGCCGTGCACGATCTGCCCGGGGTCACGGACGCACAGCAGGTAGAGGCACCCTGGCCCGGACCTTTCCGCTGCAGAGTCTGTGCTCCCCAGCCACACCCCACCTGTGCTGGGGGAGGAGCGAGAGCAACCCCAGGAATTTTTTTTGCATTCATTTTCCCCGGGGGCTCCCCTCCCGGAGGCAGCTGAAGCAGACATCTCTCTTCTACTTTGCAGGGATGCGGCTTCCCATCCTTGGACCGGGCGCCTCCAGGACCACACCTTTTGAAGGGTGGGGTGCAAAGGAGAGTGGGGGCCCCCAGCCGTCCCTGTCATTCTGACTGCTCTGTTTGTGGGAGCACACTGCCAGGGTCTGCTCTAAGTGTGTGATCATCAGAACTGCCACGTGGCTGCTGTCACGCCCTGTCACCTCTTACTGCTCCCCAGCACTGCACACTAACCGACAGCTTTCACCCCAGCTTTACAGGTGACAAGCTGAGGGGCGCAGGGATTTACTTTCTCGGCCCCCATGGGCCTTACCGTGGGAGGGACACACACGGCTGTGTGTCCTGTGATGTTGCAGGTGCGGGGTGGGGGTGTTGAGGGGTCAGCCCCAACACCCTGGTACCTCACTGTTCTGGGTGGGGGTTGTCCGGGGGAGGGCAGCTGGATGATTCCAGATTCTCCAAAGGTCTGTGTGGCCTCCACCCTTCAAGGGCACCCAAGGCTTAGCGACTCACCTGGGAGACCTTCAGCTTCTTGTTACTGGTGATCCCTGAGAGGTCAGCCTGTCGGGTGAAGACCTTGCTCACACCCAGCCGGGGCAGTGTCTTCTCCAGCTGATAGTTGCTGGTGATGGAAAACTTGGGCAGGGAGAGTTCGTCTATGTCACTAAGAAATGAGAAACAAAGCTGACCAGCTGCTTGACTGGGTGCCCACATTCCTCCCGCCGCACAGGCTGGTCTTCCTCTCTTTCTTCTCCAACCACCCCTGCTCTTGCGGGAAAAAATACTCCTTTCCCGAGTTTTGGGACCATCCAGCCACACACACGTGCCACTGTGTTCCAAGCTGGCCCTGTCCTTCTCTGCAGGCCTCAAGAGCTGCCAGAAACACCTGCACTCCAGCAAGCACGCTGGGCGACTGTGCCGGGGCAACCTTCTGCTTGGGCACCAGGAAGGCTTCCTGCAGGAGGTGGCTGGGTCCCAGGGGAGGGAGCAGAGCTAGGTGGGTGGGAAGGAGGGAAGGAGCAGGTGGAAAAAATTGCAGGAGGGTGGAAAGAAAGTGGAAGGTACTTCCATAGCCTGGATGTGGGGGAGGAGAGTAGAGAGGGCAGGGGCAGGAGCTGAGCTGGGCAGGGCAGGCAGGGCCTGGGGGGGCTGCATCTGAAGGGGTCGGGGATCCTGAAGCAATCAACTGAAAGTGCCAGGGAGCACCTCGAGGGAGCACCTCGAGGGAGCACTTCGAGGCTGGTGCAGCTTCTGAGCCGAACTGGGGAGTTCTCAAGCAAGAACTCCTGAGCCCCTCTGAGTCTTGTCCCCACCCCCCGGCCTCCCAGTCAGCAGGTGTGAGGAGGCAGTGCCTCCCGTGGACCTGGCCCCGGGGCACAGAGAGGGCATCGGGTCCCTGCGAGTCACTCGTTCAGTACATGTTTACCGGGCACCCACCACGGGCCAGGGATGTGTAAGGACAGGTTTGCTTGGCGCTTTGCAAATCCAGGCATATTCTGTCCTTTACAACTAATCACCACGGCCCTGCTGTGCGGTAGAGATTTCGTGTTGGAGGAGAAAGTCTTAGAAAGGCAGGAGCTTGGATATTGGGGGGGGGGCAATATGTGTTCTGGGGTCTCCTGGATCTGCTGAGCAGGAGCTGAGACCCCTGGAGGGGTCCCGCCTGCTGGACTCTCGATAGGGAGGGGCTGCAGTGTCCATCTGCTGTCCGGGCAGGGCCCTTTCTGCCTTATAAAGCGCCTCGCACACCTACTGGGCACCTCCAGGAGGCTCCTCCCCATGCAGTGGGGAGCTGAGCCCAGGAAGAGCAGTGGCTGGCCAAGCTCAGGCTGCCCTGTGAGCCTGGGCGCTGGACTTGGTGTTAGGACTCCTGTTGAGCTGCCTTCTGCCCTTTCTATGCACCCTCTCCCCTGACAGACCCAGCGCAGCCTCTGCCTTCCTTGTTTCCTTTGATATCAGTCTCCTCCACAGCCTGGCCTGACTCTACCCTCAGGTTTATCTGGAACTGGAGACCCTCCTTGGCCCCACCTTTATTGATCTGACCCAGATTCTTGTCCAAACAATAATCGGGCCATGCAGTTTTGGGCCCCAATTCTCACGATGACTTTATTTCACTTAAGGAGGAAGAGTCTCTAGGGGTCGGCAAGGCCCCGCATGCCTTGAGTGAGCCACCTCCGATCCCAGATTCTCCCTCTCACTCACTCTGCTCCAGCCACTCTGGCCTCACTGATCCTCAAACACATCAGCAAGGCTGCCTCCAAGCTAGAGGCTTTGCACTGGCTGTTCCCTCTGTGTACAATGCGTTTCCAGCATACCCTTGTGGTATCCCTCACCTCCAATACGGTTTAATCCCTCACCTCCAATACGGTTTAATCCCTCACCTCCAATACGGTTTAATCCCTCACCTCCAATATGGTTTAATCCCTCACCTCCAATATGACCTACTGGCTGCCTGTTTAAAATCACCGACTGCATTTTGGTCCAGTTTTTCTAATTTTATTTTTTTTACACTGCTCTACTCTATTCCTACCCCTATTTCTCACCTTCTAAAAATAGCAAATAACTTCCTTGCTCATTATGTGGCTTCATTGTTACTCTCAAAAGAAGCACCGTGAGGGTCCTCCCTGGTGGTGCAACAGGTTAAAGCACAGCACTATGAAGCTAGCTGCAGCCACGGCAACCTGAGTTCAATCCCCAGCCAGGGGGGTGACCCACATGGCACACAGACCTCTTCTGACACCCCACTGCTCCCCTCAGCAGTGTATTTCAGTCAATCTGCCTGTTCTGCTCCCCACGGTCTCCAGTGACTCCTCCCACTCCCCACACCTCTGACCTGTACCCCAGTTCTGTATGCATAAATAAATAAATCTTTTTTTTTAAGATTTATTTATTTATGCATTACAGAACTGGGGTATACACCAGAGATGCAGGGGTGGTGAGAGGATTCACCAGAGACAGAGTGGGGAGCAAAACAGGCAGATCGACGAAGCACACTGCTGAGGGGAGCAGCAGGCAGGTCAGGAGAGGTCTGCCGCGCCATGTGGCTCTCCTCTGGGGCAGGCGGGGATCGAACTCATGCGGAAGTGGCTTAAGCTTCTCAGTGCTGCGCTTTAACCCTCTGCGCCACCAGGGAGGGCCCAATAAATCTTTTTTTTTTTAAAAAGGAAGCACCATGAACACAAAGATTGTGCCTTATTTGTGAGAACAGCCTTAGGGTCTAATTAGTGCCACACGCATAGTAGGTGTTCCTTGAACCATTTGACACATGCCGAATGAGTGAACATAACAGTTCTTCGTCTGTCTCACCTCAACTACTTGCAGTTCCCTGTGTCCACCTCAGTTTTCAAGAGGTGCAGATGAGACGAGCACACTTGTGGGTGTTAAGGATGACTCACCACCAAGAGGATATCTAAGATTCCCCGTCATCGTCGGAGAAAACAGCCCAACATCACCAAGGGCAAAGGAGTCCCAGACTCTGTTCTCCTGCCACTACCTCCCGCCCTAGGGAGGCCTGGCGTGGCAGGAGAACAGGCCTACAGGAAGACAGGGGGCGGGTGGGCTGGTTTCAGGCCCTGGGTGAGTCACCTCATCTGCAGCAACGCCCTCCACCTCCTCAGGGTCTCGGGGTTCAGCCTGTCCTCCACCTGCTTCATCTTGCCAGGGTCGGGAAGGATGAAGAGGGCGCTATCACCGCTGGTGTACTGCAGCTCCACCAGAGTGCAGGCCAGCTCCGTGTCCCGCAGGTAGGGCGCCCTCAGGTCCTCGACGTTCATCATAGGCACATTCACGGACCTGGTCTTGCTCACGTGGAACTTGGTCTTGACAGTATCTCGGGGGTCAAAGGGCGTCTTCCACTTGGCTGGAGGAGGGCGAGCAGTCAGAGAACTGTCAACCCAAGGCTGCCTGCCCCCCCCATACTGGGTCCCCAGGCCGTGAGGCACACAGCCAGCCTTCCAAGTTTCTCCCAGGGTGAATGTAGGAAGGGAATAGTTTGCTCTGCCTGCAGTGGCTAAAGCAGCTTGCCAAGCAGGAGGGTTGCTGAGGGTCAGCCTGCAGGGGTCACTGTGCGAACTGGGGTCCAGGAATGTGCAGGTGAGAAGCAGGAGGTGGGGAGAGGAGGCCATCGGGAAGACATGGGAAATCCCCGGAGCCTTAACAGAAAGGCCAGGAATTGGAGGGGGGTGCTCGGGTACCCTCCTCTGCCTAGAATGCCACTGACACCTTCCACTGGGCCGGGACACAAAGACCCCTGCAGACTCAGTTATCAAAGCAAGCCTGGTTGTCTCCAGCCCAAGCCAGGCACTCACCTTTAAAGAAGATGTAATTCACCAGGACCATCGCCGTGCGTGGGTTCAGGCCCTTGATCAAGTCCACAATCTTCCCCTGGGTTTTCTTCTCCACATAGCGGTTGATGAGCCTCTCGGCGGCGTTGGTGTTCTGGAAGTTGGTGGAGAAGGCCTCGGAGGCAAACAGGGCCTGCGCGTCAGCCTTGAACGTGTCCAGCAGCTTCAGCGACTCACTCACGAACATGGCGTTACCCACGCTCAGCTGCAGCGGGTCGCTGGGGCGGCTGAGGGAGCCCAGCAGGTTCTGGAAGCCCCGGTGGATCTCAGCCTCAGGGGTCTCCGTGAGGTTGAACTTGAGGCCCTCCAGGATCTCTGTCAGGGTGGTGCTCCGGGCCCCCAGGGACAGGAAGGCCAAGGCCATGGAGATACTCAGTGGAGAGAAGACTACGTTTCTATTGGGGTTCTTTGAAGCCAACTGCTTGTAGAGGCTGAAGGCGAATTCGGTGTTGCTGGAGGCCAGCTGGAGGGTGTCCACAGGTTCTCCGGCCTGTGGGCCTCCCCGGGCCACATTCTCCAACTCGGGCGTGCCCGTTGGGTGCACTGGGGGGCAGAGCCCAGCTACCAGGAGCAGGGCCAGGAGGGCTGACATCCCCCTTGCCTTCGACTCTGAAAAGCAAAGCTCCTGTAAGTCTCGAAGGAGCGGAGACCCCCTTGGGGCCTGGGTCAGTCTCTGCCTCGGCTAGTGTCATGACTGCCCCGAGGAAGGTGCCCTCCCAGGTACCCAACACATATGGATTATACCTGATTGTGTTCCGTGTTCCCTCCCACTCTTTGAGGTGAGAGCTGTAAAGCCGTTGTCCCCAGTGGAGAACGGGGCACAGAGAGGTCAAAGGACTTGACCGAGGTGACCAGCAGGGAGTGGAGGAGAAGGGCGGAGGTCCTGGTTGGCCTGGCTCCTAGGGGGAGCTCTGGACACGGGAGCGCCTCGCTCCCCCATCAGGATGCTTCCTCCCCCTCCTACCTGGTGCTTGAGCACATTCAGAGGCAGTGAGGAAGTGGGCTCCTTCCCCCTTCTGTCCCACCTGTCTGCAGGTAGAACCCCAGGAAGGCCCTGCAGGCAGCCAGAGGCCAAGAGCCCTCCCACCTCTCAGACAACCTGTGTGCCCTTGGGCCCGCCTCTCTGAGTGGGGCAGGTCCTGGGAAGCTTAATGCTGGGCAGTGCTGGCACCTCAGTGGCCTCCACGATTGGAGAGAAGACCTACGGGGTCAGAATCTTCTTTGCCACCCCTGCCGCGGGATGCCCCAAGGGCCTTCGGGGGTGGGGGTGGGGGAGAAAACAATGGACTTCAGTGTCCAGGGCTTCCTTTGGGCCCTGTGTTTGCTGTAGGTGAGGAGGTGACAAGCAGTGGACCCTGTCTGAGGCCTCCTGGCCTCTGCACAGCAGGTTGCTTGGCTCCCGTGAGATCAAGGGTGAGCACTTGCCATAAGTGTTGCTGAGGGGT